ATCCAAAGCGGGAATCCTGATGGAAGCTCCATATTCTGGGTTGAAACTTGGAGGAATGACACCCTGGAATAAAGGGTGGGGCAAAACCAGCCCTGGCCCTGCAGGGCCTGAACCCATTTTAAATTGCTATATTAATCAAGGTCATCCAGGATTGCGAGGGCCCCCAGCTATAAGCCAAGAGTAAGGGTAAATTCTCTCTGGAAGAAAATAGCATCATCCTTGACCTCAAATAAGTTCTACAATTTTTCATATTCACTTTTCAGAACTCAAAAAAAGTAATCAGTGAGATTCCAACCAATACCCCAGGAGGCTTTTTGGGGGGTAGAAATTGACAGCTGTTTCTAAAACTCATTTGGAAATGGAAAGGACCTAGAATAGACAAAACAACTTTAAGAAAGAAGAGGAAAATTAGCAGCCTTATATTACCTGCCTTCAAGACTTATTTATAAAGGTACAATAATCAAGACAGTGTGGTATTGGCATCAAGACAGAAAAATAGATCAATGGAACAGAATAGAGAGTCCAGAAATAGACCCACATACGTATGGTCAATTGATTCTTGACAAAGGTGCAAACGCACTTCGGTGGAGGAAGGAAAGTCTTTTGAACAAACGGTCTTGAAACAATGGATATCAATATGCAAAAAAAAAAAGAAGAAAAGAAAAGGAAGAACTTCAATCTATACTTCACAAGAGATGTCAACGTTAATTCAAAACAAACCATAGACTATAAAACTTACACAAGAAAACACAGGAGAAAATCTGTGACCTTGGGTTAGACAAAGATTCCTTGAATCCAATACCAAAAGCACAATCCATAAAAGAAAACACCAGACTTCATTAAAATTAAGAAACTTTGCTCTTTGAAGAACACCTTAAGAGAAGGACAAGCCACAGATTGAAAGAAAATATTTGCAAAGCAAGTATTTGATAAAATATTTGACCTGCTATAGTAGCTCATGCCTGTAATCCCAGGACTTTGGGAGGCCAAGGCAGGAGGATCATTTGAGGCTGGAGTTTGGGACCAGCCTGAGCAACAGCACAAGACTCCATCTCTAAAAAAATTTTTTTAAATTAGCTGAGCATAGTGGTGTGAGCTTGTAGTTTCAGGTCCTCAGGAGGCTGAGGTGAGAGGATCCACTGAGCCCAGGAGCTCGAGGCTGCAGTGAGCTATGACCATAACACTGAACTCCAACCTGGGTGACAGAACAAGACCACATCTCTAGGAAAAGAAAAAAAGATTTGTATCCAGAATACATAAAAACTCTAACAGCTCACTAGTAAGAAAATAACCCAATTTTTTAAGTGAGCACGATTTTTGAAAAGATACTTCACCAGAAAAAGGTATCTGGAAGACAAAATAAGCATGCAAAAACATCTTCAACATCATTAATCATTAGGGAAATGTAAATTAAAACCAAAATAAGTTATCATTCCATGTCTGCTAGAATGGCAACTACTTATTTATTTGAGTCGGCATCTCACTTCGTTGCTCAGGCTGGAGTGCAGTGGCATAACCATGGCCACCGTAGCCTCGACCTGCTGGGCTCAGGCGATCCTTCCACCTCAGCCTTCAAAGTGCCAGAACAACAGGCCAGTGCCACCACACCCAGCTAATTTTTTGATTTATTGTAGAGACGAGGTCTCACCAAATTGCCCAGGCTGGTCTTGAATCCCTGGGCTCAGGCAATCCTTTTGCCTCTGCCTCCCAAAGACCTGGGATTATAGGCGTGAGCCACCGTGCCCAGCCTGGCTACAATTTAAAAGACTGGCTGTACCAAGCACTGATAAATGTGTAAAGGAACTTGACCTCTCATGCACTGCTAGCAGGATTGAAAATGGCATGGCCACTTTTCTCAAGAAGTTAAACACATTTCTACAATATGGCTCAGTCATTCTTCTCCTAGGTATTTACCCAAGAGAAATGAAAGCATATGCCTCCACAAAAACACGTCCATGAACATACAAAAGCTAGTCGAGCCTCTCTGAGTGGACATTGTCCTTGGGTTACCAGCTGCAGTTTGGAAAGCTTCACCCTGGCTCATGAAAAAGACTCTGCCTGTAATCCCGCGCCTTTGGGAGGCTGAGGTGAGTGGATTGCCTGAGCCCGCAGGTTCGAGACCCGCCTGGGCAGCGAGACCTCATCTCTACAATAAATCAAAAAATCAGCCGGGCATGGTAGCGCGCGCCTGCAGTTCCGGCTACTCGGAAGGCTGAGGCGGAAGGATCGCCAGAGCCCAGCAGGTCGAGGCTGCGGTGGCCGGGAGTGGCCACTGCACTCCAGTCTGGGTGACAGAGTGAGACTCCAACTCAAAAAAAAAAAAGAAAAAGAAAAAGAAAAAGACTCTGCAGGTCTGGAATGATCCCTCCAAGGGTCACCATCTTCCTGCATCATTCCGTCTGTCCCTCACTCCACTCCCTGGGACCACATGCAAATAAAAGGGCACCCAAGCCTCTGCCTCAGGCTCCCCTTTCTGAGGAACCCGGAATGAGGCAGGCCTGCTTAGCACAAACATCCTGACACCTGGCCCCGGTCTCCAGCTCCCGCTCGCTGTAAAGATGATCAGTGACCTTCCTCCTCTGCGACTCTGCCACCTGGCTCCTGAACTCTGGACGGCGCTTGTCCCAGGATGCTGTTTCCATTTTCTCCTTCATCCTGCCACCTCTGACCCCCTTCGGTTATATATACCAGAGCAGAGACATCTTTCTTGGAAGCAGCTTCTTTGAGGTCTTTTGCTAAACAGGCTTGCTCCAGGCTATCATAGGAGTTCTTGAGCTGGAGATAAAACCTTTCTCTTCCCAGGCTTCATGACCTCTCATTCTCCTGGGCCCTTTCACTGTTTCTTAATAGTGTTTTCTGGTGAAAAGCAGACCCGGTGTGTTCTGCCACCTTGCGACTCTGTCCTCTTCCTCAGCCATCGCCTCTGGCTTGAAGGAGCCTCGACACCCAGCCCTCCCATGCCCCAGCATCTCAGCCTCGGGCCTGTATTCCTGCCTCCAAGGCTGTTCTCTCCACTCTCCAAGGCTTCCTGATGCTGAGAGACCGTGCAGAGTGGGGACGGAGCATCCCAGCTCTGGACTGAGATTGATGGAGGTTAGGAAACCAGCTCTGCACTACTAGGCACGGGCTCCCCCATTAACCTGCTATGCCTCGGTCTCCCCATTTGTAGAGTGGGCATGACCAAAGGTTGGCCCCACCTCACAGCGTGATCTGCACTTACTAGTTGTGGGCTCCTCCACTAACCTGCTGTGCCTCCGTTTCTCTACTTGTAGAATGGGCGTGACCACAGGTGGGACCCATGTGGGCACTTAAAACAATGCCTGGCACATGGCAAGCACTCGATGTAGCCTCCTGGGTTGTTGCAGCACAGACTGTGACATGTCCTTCCAGTCTCTTCTCTCCTTCTTTGGTCATGGAACCCAGACCTGAGCTGGCACAGGTGAGCTGCGCTGCCTGGAACAAAGCTACTTCTTGGCGTTCCCTGGCACCAGGCATGGCTGTGTGACTGAGACGAAGCTGCCAGGCAGCATGGGAAAGAGTGTGGTCTAAACGCAGTGCCCAGCACTGTCCCTCCCTTCTCTTGCTGGCTGGGATGACACAAAGGTCTGTGGCCGCTGTGAACCATGTGGCAAGGCCAGGATGGAAACCCACCAAGGCAGGTCAGCACAGAAGACCCTGGGAGCTCCAACCAGCCCTGGGCAGCCCACCTCTGGAACTTGCCAACAGGAATGAAAACCCCCTTCCCTCTTGCTCAAGTCACAATGATTTTGGGTTTTTCTGTGCCAGCTGGACCCAACCCTAACCAACACAGTTGTAAGGATTATTAATGAAGATGACCGTGTCACAGGCTTGACCTAAGGTACCGGTGTCGCTCCATGTATCTCCCATGATCGGCGCCTTTGTTATTGACCTTGACCTCAGGCCACCTGCCTCACGTCAATTACCCCTCGTACTCTGGTCCCTCTCACCCCCTAGGAGCTGCCCAGGAGCCCTGCCAAGAGGGACCTTGACCTCCCGGCACCTGCCTCCCCTCACAGAGGGACGGGGTGACAGCTCCTAGGGACCCTGCTGACCCCAGCTCCCTCCTGCCTACCTTGGTCCATCCACAGGAGCACATGTCCCAGAGAACCTGAGTCAGGGCCATCACTGGGGAGCCTGGCCAGGCATAGCCGGAGGGGGTGGGGTGGGTAGGGGACAGGAGGCAGAGGGAGCATGCAAATTCTGTACCTGGAGCTGCCGTGTTTCCCAGGGGAGCACAAAGAACACACACACACACACAGAGAGCAAAGGTTAGTGATGGTGGGCAGGTGACACCCCACCAGGTGGCACTTCCCTGGGGACCCCCAGCCCTGAAGGTGGGGCTCTCATCCCTAAGTCTGTCCTGCGCCTCTCCCCTTCTCATGCCCCAGAGTCCCAAGTCCAGCCTGACCCCCCTGGCTGGGTTTACATTGCTCCTTGATCCATCTGGGAGGGTGGAGGATTTAGTCAGAGTCCTCGAGGAAGTAATCATTTCTTATAAACAGTCCCAGGGACAAGCCATTAGCCTCCAAGCAGGGTGCCTTTGCCTGGTCGTTGGGGACCGGGCGTGGTATCTGTAATCCCAGCACTTTGGGTGGCCGAGGTGGGAAGATTGCTTGAGCCCAGGAGTTCAAGACCAGCCTGGGCAACATAGCAAGGATCCTATCTCTATTAAAAAAAATTTAAAAATTAGCAGGGCATAGTGGTGTATGCCTGTGGCTGCAGCTACTGGGGAGGCTGAGGTGCAAGGATTGCTTGAGCCCAGAAGATGGAGGCTGTGGTGAGCCATGATGGGGCCATAGTACTCCAGGCTGGGCAACAGAGTGAGACCCCAACTCCAAAAAAAAACAAAAACACAAAACAACGATTAATGGCCACTGGGGACTTCCTGTCCTGAACTGTTAGTGGGAGACACTTGCCACCATGCGGTGCTGGGGTGGTGGACAGAGCCCCATCCTGGGAGGGGGAGGAGCCACACTCACCTTCCAGATGCTCGCCTCCTTGCCGTAGACCACGGCCATGTTGCTGGCCTTGCCGCCTTTAATGAGTTGCTTCTCCGTCTCGTTGAGCTCCTCAGACACGAAGCCCATGAAGGAGTTGTCCGGGGTGTGAGCTGCAGCCCGACCACGCAAGAGAGAAAGGGATCACCAGCCAGCCAGGGACACACCCCAGGTGTCCCC